AGCTGAAACCCATGCATGTTTTTCAAATACTTTAAATTTTTGCGCTACTACATAAATGAAAAGTAGAATATGTACTAAAGTGTGAATGCACTCGTAAGTATGTATGTCGAATTGTACTTACATATTCGGTAGTTTATTGATAGATTTCAAAAAAAGGAGATATATGTACCTACATACGATGTACTATATATTACGAGTACATATTTACGGATAAAAAAAAATAAAACATCGATGAAAAAAGATTCGTCCCGAACAATCACCATCTTATAAAATTAAACGTTTTTATATGTATATCGTCGAAGATACTACAAAACGTTCTATGTCACTTATTACCTTTGGTGCTTAATTAATCTGTTGTCTGTGTCTGATCGCTGCTGGCGGCAATCGTTCATCTTCATCAGGCAAAGGTAGACAGTTTTTTCATTCGTTTATTAGGGTGTAACGATTTGCAGATGCATTGCGGTGCAAGTAAGAGACCACCTACATAAGTGTCAAGGGTACTAATAGACATAGACCGTTTTGCAGTATCACCGACGTATGCACTTTCTTTGATGTGAAACATATGTATGTATAGTGTGTAGTACACGTATGTGCACAGTACATAGCATACATACTTGGTTTCGGTGGGGTAATTCAGCTCTGGAAATAACATTAAAATAGCCGCATATGCTTAGCACCTATAACGGTGAACAGTCAAAGTATGGAGGAAAATAATATTTGATTACAACTTTTATAATATTGGTTAAATTTTATTAGATTACTTTTACTTTAACTTTTTTTTATATACACTGATTTACAAATTCTTACCTTGCGGATGCCACTATCTAAGTCCTAGCTAATTTTGTTTATCTATGGATAAGTTGTTTAGTTAAAAATAAAAAGTGGTTTCACTTAATCACGTACATATTTCTTCCAAATCAGTTGAACATTGTTAGAACAATCTTAAAGGTGTTCATCGATTTTCGATAGGTCTAGCGGTTTCCGAGAAATTGATTAACCAATTATTTTTTTTTTAACGAAAAACTTCTAAATTTAACAGGGGAAAAATAACGATTTTTTTATTTCCTTCTCTAAGAGCCTGCTGTTTTATATTAAACCATGTTTTCGATAAGTTAAAAAGTCGTGAATGACCAAACGAAAATACCAAGTCGTCGAATGTCAATATTGTTTATATAAAGATATAATGTGATGACTACTTATATCACCTGAGTGGAAGATCGACCTATCTCGGCAGCCAAACTTCAAAAACTTTTCAAGAAGGCCCTACTTCTGAATTTTATTGAAAAACACCCTTTTTCAGAATTTGGTTAAGTACACTCTAAAACTCCCTTGACTCTTTTTGCGTCTTAGCCATAAGGAACTTGAGACCTCACAGTGGTGCCGAATTTCCCTATGTAGTTTGTTACGGCTGTGGGGTATTTTTCAGTGCCTCCCTTGAAGGAAAAGAAATCGATGACAGTATTGAGTCATCCGCTTCGCTAATTTGCATATCCGAGCCGTGTCTAGCCATCTCATGGGCGATGTATTTCATTCCCTTTGATTTTGCCATGTCCAGCAACTCAACAGAGAGAGGTTTTTACATAACTCAGTAAAGCCAGCGATGCAGACATTTCCGAGTACTTTCAACTTTACTATTTCGAATCTTATTTTTGCAAGCCTAGTCATTGTCAACGAATATAGTGACGTTCCCTGATAGACACTTATCATCCAGTATGAGACAAGTCGCCTTCTTCATTGGGAAGAGCTCCGCCTGAAAGACCCTGCAGTTATCAGGTAGGCAGTATGATTGCCTTAACTGAAGGTCCTTGGAGTACAGACCCGAGCCGACTTCATTTTCCAACTTGAAGCCCTCAGGATACATAAAAATACATCATTTACCGACTGTAATCAGTTTCCACGCCTAAGTTGGCCTAGATCCCGTTATGCCGTCTACTATTAATTTCCTTCAAAACCGCTGCGTGTTAGTCTGTGTCCACAATTTTGATTCCCTTAGACTAAGAGCACCTTTTGTGGATGCACCTGTCACAACTCAGGTGCAGCCACAAATATTTGTGGTGGTTTCAAGTAAAGTTTCTCACGGCGCCTGATATACCGAAATTTGCGAGCCTCTGTACCCTTCCAATCCGGTGCTTTCTACTACGTTGCGCCTCCACGTAAGTTTGGAGTCAAGGATAATACCTAAGTATTTTGCCTTGGGGGAAACGTTGAGGCTAGTCCCGTTTAATTTTTGCAAGGAGAATTTCGAAATTTTTAGATTTCCTCGTGAATAAAAAAGTTCGGATTTAGTAAGGTTGACTTACTAGCCCCTTTTGTTTTGCCCAGTTCCGATTCCAGGCGGTCACTAATTGTTGGGGAGGGTTTTCCGAAAATTAGTGTAGCCAAGTTATCAACGTAGGCAGCCATCTTCGTTCACCTAACTTTAAAGCTTTTTAAAAAGCGTGATTAAGTGGAATCACTTCTTATTTTTAGCTAATTGGCGGTAAGCTACAAATAACTCAAAAACTTTTCCACAGAAAATAAAAGGCGATTTTCGGAATCGGCGAGCATTCGGTGCGCATTTTTGCTGTAAACCAGTATTATTTATTATGTACCTAACACAAATCGTAGGCACTCAGTGCAGATTTGAATGATTTAATGAATTAAAATAGTTAAAAAATTTTTACAAATTAAAAAAAAATCACTGGTTTTATTTAGGAGGTCGAGTTACGCTTCTACATATACGAAAATAGTGACAGCTCGGGACGTAAAAAGATGAAATATTTTAATTAAATATGGAAACTCGAATTTTTTACTCAAAATAGTCTTCTGAACTTTATCGAAAAAGTGCACGTACCTAGGCATATTTATTTATGTATGTATATAAAAAATCTCAGTTAAAAGCTTCTTTGTGCTAGCGCTGTTATGCAGCTAGTTAAGAGAAAAAAAAATTTTCACTGAATTTCACTGCAAAATATATGTATGTATGCATGTGTGAAGTATAAATATTAAATATGAAATATAAAAAAAAATTTTATTAAAACAAAGACCATTAAAAAAATTACAATCATTTATATATTTATGAAATTTTTTTCTCATTTCAGTTTACGTACATACACTGCGTATGAGTAACCTTCTAACAGATAGTGTACTTGGAAGGTAAACAAGTAATTTTTAGCAAAAAAAAACCGACTTCAACTCCCGACTTCACTTCAACTAAAAAAAAAATATATATATGTATATATATCTCATGATCCACTGATCGGATCTCAACCAGATTAGTATGGGACCACCTCTGAGACACTACCTTTCCGATGCA